CGATGCCACCACATCTTCCAAGGGACTCCCCAAAACTTGCAGGGGCTGGCCCCCCGCAAACAGGTCACATGTCCACTCAAGATCTTGCTGTGAGAAAGATGGAAGATGCAACTAAGTGTAAACCTTATTTCCTTACTGAAAATTCTGAAATTTTGTCTCAAAAAATGCCTTCATATAAATGTGCTTTTCCCTTCTCTCTCAGATAGCCATGGCCATATTGATCCCGCTCTGAGACCCATATGGGACTTGGCTTTCCTGGGTAGCTCGTACGTGATGTGGGAAAAGACAACCCCATTTCTACACTACTACCTGACACAGCTCACCAGCGTGAAGCAGTGGGTAAGAACTGGAAATTAACTTGCGCCAAAAGAGCTGCAACCAATGTGGTATTCTTAGATTGAATTAGTGTGAATTCCTAATTTCATGGCAAGAGTTTTTTGCTTTTCTCCCATCGTTTAGGGGGTACAAATAACTTTTGATTACATGGACACATTGTATAGTGGCAAAGACGTCTCGGCTTTAAGTTACCTACTACCCCCATCTGTGCACATTGTACCCAATAAGTGATTTTTCATCCTTCCCCCCTCCCCCTTCTGAGTCTCCAGTGTCCATTATCCCATTCTCTATTCAGTTCCTTGGTTTAGCTGCCACTTATGAGAACATGCAGTGTTTGGTTTTCTGTCCTGAGTTAGTGCGCTTAGGATGATCTCTAATTCTATCCAAGTTGCTGCAAAAGACATTATTTCATTCTTTTTAATGGCTGAATAGTATTCCATAGTGTATATACACCACATTTTCATTATCCACTGATCGGTTGATGGACATTTAGGTTGATTTCACAACTTTGCAATTGTGAATTGTGTTATGATCATGGCAAGAGTTTGAACACATTTAATTCATTCAGCAAATATCTGAGTGTCTGCAATGTGCTAGGTATTGTTCTAGAGACTGAGGATATAACAACTGAACAAAAACCACAATGTTGCTGCCCTCATAGAGATTAACTCTGGTGAGAGAAGAAAGACAGTGAACAAATAAATAAACATGTATCAATTGATGATAATTGCTAGGAGAAAACTAAAGTAGGGAGAAGGGAGAGCAGGGTGTTGATTGAATGCCTGCTTAGTCTGCAATAAGGCTCACTGGATCAGAGGCCGAAGGGAAGGGAGGCAAGCCCTGCTCCCATCAGGAAAGAGAATGTCAAACAGCGGGAACAGAGGTAGCCATGAGGCAGTGGGTGGGAGGATGTGGATATCAGGGATGAGAAAAGTTCAGGATGATTCTTAGGATCTGGCCTTAATAACTGAAAGGATAGAGTTTCCATGTACTGATGGAGGAAGCCCACAAGAGAAATAGATTTGAGGGAAAATTATCTTGATTTGTATGCTAAATTTTATAGCCAAGTAATGAATTTGTAGACTCATCTAGACATGAGTCTGAAGTTAAAGGAAGACATCTGGGCTGGAGTCATCACCCTACAGAGGACATTCAAAACAGCACACCCCTTATCAACAGCTCGAGTCTTTACCCTAACTAGAGGTCTCCATTAGCCAAAAGTACATTATAGAAACCATCTTAGCTGGGCATAGTGGCTCACACCTATAATCCCAGCACATTGGGAGGCCAAAGTGGGAGGATCACTTAGAGTTTGAGACCAGCCTGGGCAAAACAGTAAGACCCCATCATCTCTACCAGAAAAAAATAAATAACTAAGCATGGTGGCTTACACCTGTAGTCCTAGCTTCTTAGGCTGAGGCAGGAGGATCCCTTGAGTCCAGGAGTTCAAGGTTGCTGTAAGCTATGATCACACCACTGGACTCCAGTCTGGGCAACAAAAAGAGATCCTCTCTACAAAAAAAAAAAAAGAAAGAAAGAAATCATCTTGTCTACCCTGCTATGCTAAAAATATCTGCTTTTGATCACCTGTATTACTTTTTTCCTTTTTTGAGTTGGAGTCTAACTCTGTCACCCAAGCTGGAGTGTGGTGGCACGATCAGTGATATTGCAGCCTCAACCTCCTGAATTCATGTGATCCTTCTGCCTCAGCCTTCCAAGTAGCTGGGACTACAGCTGTGTTTTACCACGCCCAGCTATTTTTTTTTCTTTTTTATTGTAGAGATGAGGTCTTGTCATGTTGTCCAGACTGGTCTTGAACTCCTTGGCTCAGGCAATCCTCTCACCTTGGCCTCCCAAAGTGCTGACATTACAGGTATGAGCCACTGTGCTTGGCCTTGATCACTTGTGTTAGTAACTTAAGCCCACTTCCTGTTAAACCACACTGGTTCTGCTAGGGATGCCTTCTCCCTCTCTCTAGGGGAGTGGAGGGTTATGAGGTGGGGCTGGTCATGAGTAAGGGAACAAACAAAACACTTCCAGTCTGTCTCTAGGAAGATTAAAGTGCTGAGTTACCAGAAAATGTAATAATAAATCATCATCATATTGGACTGCAAGGATTTGACGTTTGAGATGATTTGAATAGAAGCCAAAAAGGTTATTTCTGAAGAATATGAAAAATAACACTTTCTTGGCAGAGCTTGACTTGGTGAGGGCAGTCCAATCATAGGACACTTTGCCAGGCTGGGCTGTGCAACTCTTCTACAGTTCTTTGATAAACAGTTCTTTTGGTTGGTTTAAGGGTGCTTCCTCCAGGAAGAGGAAGAATATATAAAAATAGAAATGCAAGCCAGGCTTGGTGACTCAGCCTGTAATCCTGCGCTTTGGGAGGCTGAGGTGAGTGGATTGCCTGAGCCCGCGGGTTTGAGAACCGCCTGGGCAACTTGGCGAGACCTCGTCTCTACAACAAATCAAAAAATCAGCCAGGTGTGGTAGCGTGTGCCTGTAATTCCGGCTACTCAGAAGGCTGAGGCGGAAGGATTGCCGGCATCCAGTGGGTCGAGGCTGCAGTAGCCGGGAGCAGCCACTGCACTCCAGTCTGGGCAACAGAGTGAGACTCCAACTCAAAAAAGAAAGAAATACAATGGTGTGTTCTAGTAACTTTATTAAGGAAGTTCTTATTCAAATGGATTTTTCAAGCATTATCATGATTCAGATTTTTGTGTTAAAAGATGGGTAACACTGGCTGGGTGCAGGGGCTCATGCCTGTAATCCCAGCACTTTGCTGAAGCAGCTGGATTGCCTGAGTCCGTGAGTTCAAAACCAGCCTGGGCAACATAGAGAAACCTTGTTGCTACAAAAAACAAAAAAATTAGCCTCCCAGGTAGCTTGTAGTTCAGCTACCTGGGAGGCTGAGGTTAAAGTGTCGCCTGAGCCCAGGAGGTCAAGGTAGCTAGCTGTGAGCCATGAGCATGCCACTGCACTCCAGCCTGGGCGACAGAGTAAAACCTGACTCAAAACAAAAACAAAACACAAAAGAAAATGGGCAACACTCTCTGTTTTCAGCAAAAGTTTGTTACATGGAGCTGAAGATGTTCCTGTTTTAAGCCCTGCCTCTTTTTTTTTTTTTTTGGTCTCAAATCTGGAGATTGTCATGATTCCCTTCAGAAATGCTGTTTCAACAGCAGAATAAGAAGGTATTGTCCTAATAAACACGTTCAACATATACATGATTCCCTTCAGAAATGCTGTTTCAACAGCAGAATAAGAAGGTATTGTCCTAATAAACACGTTCAACATATAAGCAAAATGAATTCTTAAGTTATAAAAATACATGGTTAACAAGTCTTGAGAACAGTATGAACAGCTCAAAAGTCTGAGACAAATAATGACACGATACGGCAGCTAGCTTGTATGGAGCATCTTGGATAGATGCTATCGACTCTTTCCAAGGTCAAGATAGTCACCATATAAAATGATGTTAAATACATCCCTAAGCCAACAATGCCATACTGACCACTAGATCTTCCAGTAACTGTCCCTTATGAAAGAGACACTGAATTTTCTCTTGAGTTCTCTGACTTGGCAGCTTGTGCTAGGAACATTCACAGGTCCACTGTGAGGCACGAGGGAAACTTACCCAATATTGCAAAGATACCACAGAAAAAGCAGCCATTGCTGATGTATCCAGGCCCCCTCTGCATCTTCTCCCTCAAGCACACTCCTGGAAATTTCATGACTTATAAAAATCGCTATCAATGTAGGCAAATGGAAGACAAAAGTTAATGTCGGGTCCTTTTCTTTTTTGGTTTTTGCTTTTTCATATTCTTTATTAGTCTTAATTAAAACTTGGTAGAAGACTACAATTATAATGCAAATTGAGGTATTCAAAAACTTTGCCTCTCTTCCATTTTTAGTAAACATACAAGAATTCTTGCAGGAGGAACAATAGGAAATGTCAAAAAGAAAATAGTTAATTGGGTTAGTCACTAGTAAAATGTTTAGAAATCAAGTGAATAAAAGAGCTGAAGAGGACTGCCACCCATGGCAAACCATCGGCTATAGCAACAGTGTGATACTGCCTCGTGTAGTTTAGACGAAGAAAGTGGGAGCTGGAGTAAGGAGACTGGGTTTGAATTCCCATTTGTCACTTCCTAGCTATCACTTCCAGCTACCTCGCCAGTCAAACCAGGCTCACATTATATACCAAAGTAAGATAATCATAATTACACAAGAACATGCAGAAATACTGGTTGCCCTTCCCCTCATCTTACCGCCTGACATATCAGAGTTAACACTCCAGCTTGAGGTGCATATGATAGCTAGATCGTTATTACAGTCCTCAGCCTCCATCAAAAACAATGACTATTAAATTTTTTAAAATGATAGACATTTAGCCAGATTTTCACACAGCTCAGCAACAAGACAAAAAAAGGGTACATAACTTTCATATCCTTCTTGATGCACGTTGCTACCATAGAAGTGAGGCTGAATTCTAACAGGCAGCAGGAGAGACAAGGTACCATCCAAAACAAGAATGTATATGACATGAACCTTTCAAATTCTGAGCCGATGTGAGCCCACAAGATTTGTTACGCTAATTCTTCTTTTCTTTCTCTAGAAAACTAATGATGATGCAATTGAATTTGACTATACTGTTCTACTTCATGAATTCTCAACACAGGTAAGATACAAAATTGCACACTGAACTGTTTTCACCAGAAGTTTTTGCAAATTATAATATTTTATAACCCTTTTATTCTAGGAAATGATACCCTGTCGAATTCACTTGCTCTGGTACCCTGGCAAACCACTTAAAGTGAAATACCACTGTCAAGAGCTGCAGACACCAGAAGAAGCCTCTGGAACTGAAGAAGGATCGGCTATAGCACCGACAAAGCCTAGTAATTTCTAAAAAGAAAAAAATATCCTGCTCACACCAAATTCTAGACAAAAATGACTGCACTAGCATACATCATTATTCCAGTAAAACAGCTAAGATACAGGCTTTCTAATAAATCAGCCTATGATTACAAGTTGATACTCAAAAATTAAAAGATGCTGAGTTTCTTGTTTTTCGACTGCTCTGTTTTGATTTTTAATCTGGGAGCATGTGCTTACTGAACCCCACTCAATGCCAAACAGACCAGCAGGTTCCTCAGGGTTTCAGCATGAAAATGTAAAATCTGGACAACCAGTATATGCCACAACTGATCAAAAAATATTTTTAAAAAACAAAACAAAGCAATGATGATGCTCTCATCTCTGAATCTGCATTTCTCATTATTTTGAACACATAGTAGCTAACTACTTTACGTTACTGAATTGCTTCTACCTAATATGTAAACAAAGATAATATATTTTCAATGAAAGTAAACTGAAGAAAAAATTAACTGTTTAAAAGGAATTTTATTATATTTTATGATTACAATCAAGTATTCCTTTATAACTTGATTATTTACTTTTAAATATTTACATTTCTAAATAAAATGTATGAAATGTGCTTGTAGAGATCTGTATACCTAGGATACACTTGTGCTCAATGGGAATTAAATGAAATCTTAATATTGCTTAAATATTACAAAAATAGTGTCTCACCAGATAAAGCTGCCTGCAAACATGCATTAAAAGGAACACTGATGTAAAGTATATTAAATATTTATAATTTTCATTTATAAAGACAACTTGGACCCAGTGTTGGCCTAAGTAATTTATAAAAGCAAACAAATCTGAACCATAATCCAATTCAGTGGAGTGCCTCCTCAAGGGAGGAGGAATTGATCCGGGAAATGTTGCCATCATCTGCGTCTCAAAATTAGTATCATTTAATGGAACACTTACATCAGTGTCTAAAAACCTTCAGCTAGGTTCTGTGGCCAGTAATTGATCAGGAAACATCAGCCTTAAAATATACCAAAATAATACTTTTATGAAGTCTGCCCTGCTAGATAATTGGAAAAGTTTATACTAACAATAAACCTTTAAAGACATAAACTCATACCAAATAAGCCGATCTAGTTTGTACTTTTTTCTATTTAAGCCCCACCCTGTGTATCTATCTTCCCCAAATCCACTTGATTTAAAGAGTTGCAAGTATTCTGAAGTAAGGCAAACCATCATCTAAAGGAAACATCGGCTCTCTCACCTATGTGATAAGGAAGTACTTTTACTAAATTATTTTTAAAAATCCAAAGACTAAATCACACCAAAATCAATGGATAAGCTCCTATAACTTAAGCTCCTTAAATGACCATCAAAAAAAGAGCATTATAATAGCACATCCAATGCCCTGTGATCTTTAATCGATGTTTAAGTATCACATTAAGGACTTGAAAAGGGGCCTTTACTTGGTGTTCCAGCTTTCCAGAGCTTCAGCCTTCTTATCTTCACAACGTCGTTTTCCATTATTGAGATCAGGTTCACAAATGGACCACAATTCAACTAGGTAAGGATTCTAATGTAACCCTTTAACAGATTTATTTCAGTAGAATAGATTATGAAGGGGAATTCTATACATATGAATAACATACAAACATAAGTATCTAGTTTATAAAATTAAAAATCCCACAAAAGCTAAACCAACTAAAAATGTCTCAGTATTGCCATTAGAACATCTTTTCTAGCATAAACTCAAATTGCTGACTTGATTTCACTAGCTAGCAACAGAAAAAAATTACTTGGCATAAAATAAAAAACTCTACATTCCCTAAGCCCTCTTCTCATCAAGAGTCTAAATTCTTCTGACTCACCCCTCAGTCAATGACAATGACATACAGCATCATATTCTTTTTCCTAATCTCTTGAGAACTTCCGGAATTATAAGACATACAAAATCATACCAGGGATTTTGTCTGCATTCCATTTTATTTCACTCATAGTTTCGTTTTTTTCCTACTTGAATTATGAATTGTTAGACAAGTCCTTTTGAAAGTCGGTTGGAAGGTTCTATATTAGCACTTGAATGTTAGCCCTTCATGACACCTTAGTTTCATGACATCTTAGTTTATTACACCAATTTCTCTCAGCTTCGAAAATTGTGACCTGCTTGGTGACGCTAGCTTTCTAAGGACTACAATCACCTAACATGCTGCATGACACTTATTTCAATGGATAAATGAAGGAATGTGCACATAAAATTTTCTGTAAATACAATTAACTTATTTCAGTGTTGCATTACAGTATTATTTATTTGAAGACACTTTAAGCAGCAATATTAGAGATCCAATTCAACAATTTATAGTTTTAGCAATGCAAATAGCTACCTTCAACAAAGGAATACATTCCAGATTGTCACAATTTACTCTTATTGGGTTGGCTGCCAATTTTAAGACTAATCCAAATTTCAAAAGCATTACAATATAAAAATCTTAAACTCCAGAATTACATTTTAGTGACCTTACAACTACACAATCTAAGAGTGAGCAGAGAGGAAAGGAATAACAGAAAACAGAAAAAACACTGACTAGTTTTTTTAAATGTGAAGGAATCACACTGGGCATGGTGGTGCATGTACTGTAGTCCCAGCTACTCCAGAGGACTGCTTGAGCATAAGAGTCTTTAAAAAAAAAAGTTAACCTGGCGTGATGGCATACACCTGTAGTTCCAGCTACTAGGAAGACTGAGGGGGAAGGATCACCTAAGTCCAGCAGGTTGAAGCTGTGGTGGCCATATGCGTGCCATTGCACTCCAGCCTGGGTGACAAGAGTGAGACTGCAACTCAAAAAAAAAAAAAAAAAGCTGGGCTCGGTGGCTCAGTCTGTAATCCCGCGCCTTGGGAGGCTGAGGTGAGTGGATTGCCTGAGTCTGTGGGTTTGAGACCCACCTGGGCAACTTGGCAAGACCTCATCTCTACAATAAATAAAAAATCAGCTGGGCGTGGTAGCATGCGCCTGTAATTCCGGCTACTCGGAAGGCTGAGGCGGAAGGATCACCGGAGCCCGGCAGGTTGAGGTTGCGGGGCCACTGCACTCCAGTCTGGGTGACGGAGTGAGACTCTAATTCAAAAAAAAAAAAAGTTACTAAACAAAGAACCAACAGCCCAAATTCTAATATAGTATGACACATCTGAATTTCACAGATCTTTCATTTGATGTCTTGGGCCTAAGCGCAGTACAAACACATTTCAGTGGTCTTTAAAACCTTGACCACATTAGAATATCTGGAAAATTTTTTATCTTGATTCATCTAAATAATCTAAATATGGGGGGGACTAGGTATTTCATTTTAAAGCAACCCAGGTGATTTTTACAGTGCCATGAAAGTCAGGAATCAGTGCAATACTGCCTAGTGCTACTCCAACACGAATACACAATAATCTTTCTTTAAATTAGCCAACAATTATCCTTCACAATAGTGTAAGTATATATATCCCCACTTACGAATATTTCCATTAATTTTTTCCACGCTACAGACTTTTAGTATGTGATCTTTACCAACTATAACTAATGAGTTAGAAAGAGATGTGGGTTCTGGTCCTGCTCTATCCTAATGTGATCCTATCTAGTTACTCCCACTAGCTGGGCTTGTGTCACTGTCTATGAAATGCTGATGTTGGATTAGATATATAGGACCTTTTCTAACACTATAACTTTGCAACCAGAATGTTTAACAAATTAAAAACAAGACCGAATTTATCCATCTTGGTTCCAGTTTTCTGACTATTCTCAATTGCCAGTGGAACCTTGCTAAGTTCTGTGAAGGGACATAGAATATATTACCTTGTTAGTTAGGAACAACATTCCAAGTTATTGTGAATGGCATGAGATGCTGATGAAAAGCCAAAGCAACTACAGTTTTCAGGCTTGATGCTACTGTAGTAACAGACATTCATGTGGGAAATGCACTTAGTGAATAATCATAGCCAAGGTATTCATTTGAACACTTAAGCTGGTGGTCTTAGAAAAGCTTCCTTGTCTATGTTTCCTCTATCACAAAGTGGACTTAATAATAAATCTTACTCTCACGGGTTGTGAGACAAAAATTAAATAATGTATTTAAAGTATTTAGCAAATACCTTGAAAATATGTGCTCAATGCTTTTAAAGATCCTTTTTCTCCTAGAAACCTTAAATCATAAAATCAAATCTATAAATCAAGAAAACCAAAAGAATTTAAAAATCAACTATTTTATTACCATCATCACGTGATGGGAAGGACTAGGATATGTCTATGGCATCAGATGATTTCTGGATGAAGCAACTCTGAACAGTTTAATAGAACTGCCTGGGAAAGTCCAACTTACTCTAGAAACAAAAGATTAACATTTTTCTTCTTCTTCTTTATTGGGTCATTGAATACAATATATGATAAATTCCAATGACTCAAATTCAACGAGCATTTACTAGGTCAATGAAACTAACTAGGCAGCAACTCTATAATTGACTATTTAAGGCTACAGAAACATTAAGATGAACACAACAAGAATAGCATAGGCAAGGGTCCATTTCTTATTTCACACTGTACCACAAGGAAGTAAAATCTACACTCCTAAAACAGGCAGTTACAAAATTGCAGAAGTCACAAATTGAAACAATCAGCCATATATAAAGCAGATAAAAATTTAGCTATTATTTTAATAGCCTCATGAACATTCTGAAAAACGTTTTTTATTAAGATCATATGGACTTCACACTCAGACAGCAAAGCCCACCCACTAATGACACTCCAAGAGGTAGTATGACATATGTAATTCATTTTTGCATCATCAGCAAACTAATAATCTCAAATAAATTAAAACCACAGAGGGATAAGATGTAGATAAACAACAAATAGATAAAGCAATATGGCAAAAATTATATAATAAACAAATTGTTAACAAAAGTGCTCACTGTTATATCTATGTGGAAGCTGTGTATGGCTGTTCTTTGTACTTTTTTTTTTTTTTTTAGCTTTTCTGTATGTTGAAAATTCTTATGATAAAAAATTTGGAAAGGGAGTCTACACACATTCTAAGCTTAGAAGTATAACTGAAATTAGTCTCTTACCCTTAAATAAACATTACATATATTTCAGCAATAATTATGTTTTATTTTATTTTTTCAATGAACTATAAAACCAATCGAAGTTGAGATATACTGTATGTAGGATTATCTTTGAATATAACAGAAGCTCCTGAGTGAATGGAAGGGTTTCTAAAACCTCCTGTTTCAGCAGCCTGAACTTATTCCACGGAATCCACCAAAGCATATAAACTTTACAGATTTAGTTAAAGTTGGTCAACTCAAATTATGGAAGGTTAATTCTTGGCTTTTCCTTTTTTTACAGGAAGTTGACCTGTAGCTTCCAAATACTTATTAATGAGGTCTTCTTGTGTAGACGGTAAACACGGCTGGTATCTGCAATACTCCATTGTGTATTCTCCCTTTCCCTAGGAGTTTAAAAAAGAGACATAATTTTTTTTACAACTATCAAGTAAAGACATGCAAACTCAGAAATGTGATCACTGGGTAGGGTGGTCTTCTGAAGAGCACTATAATAAAGTTTAAATACTTGCTTACCTCTGTGCATGACCTAAGTTCAGTGGAATAACCAAACATATCATTTAGAGGAACCTGAAAACAAATACAAATGACATTTCAGCCTTGCTTATTGAAAAAAAATACAGACACCATAGTCGCTTATTTCCTTTAGATTCAGGTTTTCACTCACTACTCTAAGTTTAAAAGAATTAAAAGTCAAAGAGGAACATTTTTGTTTTATTCCAACTGGAAGTCAAAAATTATTTGACAGTCAAAACTAGAAACCAAATCTTCCTGTTTCACAGCATGAACCACTGATGGCCTTCTGTTCTCATCCCACTCTAGCTGTGGCTCCAACTCAAGCATTCAGAAGTGTTTCTCCTGTGAAAATGTTAATATAGGCCAGGGACGGTGGCTCATGCCTGTAATCCCAGCACTTGGGGAGGCAGAGGCGAGAGGACTGCCTGAGTCCAGGGGCTCGAGACCAGCCTGGGCAACTTGGTGAGACCTTGTCTCTTCAATAAATCAAATTATCCGAACACGGTGGTGCATGCCTATAGTTCCAGCTACGTGGAAAGTTGAGGCAGAACGATCACCTGAACCCAGCAGGTTGAGGCTGCGGTGGCCATGAGTGTGCCGCTGCACTCCAGCCTGGGCAATAGAGACTCCAACCAAAAAAAAAAAAAAAAAAGTGTGTGTGTGTGTGTGTGTGTGTGTGTGTGTGTGTGTGTATAACTTTCCTTTGAATTTTTCTTTTGAGTAGCAGTCTCATTCTATTGCCCAGTGCAATGGCACAATCATGGCTTAAATAAACATTAAATGTATTTCAGCAATAATTATTTTATCTGATGTTTTTCAATGAACTATAAAACCAATCAATTAAGTTGAGATTATATTGTACATTAAGATTATCTTGGGCTGAAGTGATCCTTCTGCCTCAACCTCCCAAGCAGCTGGAACTACAGGCACATGCCATACACCTGATGATTTTTTTGATTTTTGTAGAGACGAGGTCTCGCTACATTGCCCAGGCTGATCTCAAACTCCTGGGCTCAAGCAATCCTCCTTTGAACACCTTAATGAAATGTTAAGGGTAGTGTCTTTCAGGAGACCTTATGTAATGTGGTAAACATTTTCTCCCTTGAGATTTAAGTCAAGAAAGGTACAGGCAAGGGAATGAAACATTATTCTAATAAATTAGAAATAACATAATAAAGCAGCTATACAAATAAAACTAAAATGAGAGAGATAAGTATACATTTAAAAAATGACAAATTCACAAAAGGCCAAGATGAAATGAATCTTATTTTTAGCTTTTGCACTTGAGTTGCTCTAACAGCAAATTACAGAAATTGCCACACATATATAAGCCACCAATTCAACAGTGAAATGTGTCAATTTGCAAAAGCAAAAGCTAATCCTCATTTCCTTCTGTGGTTAATAAAAGCAAGACTGTCGATGGCCAATGGTACTCACATCTGCATACAGTGTAAAATAGTCCTCAAGTCCATCTTGCCCTGTGATTACCCCATGGCGCCGGTTAATTCCCGCAATTACTGGTCCCTGAAATTCATTTGGAACTATAACTTCCACAGCCATAATGGGTTCAAGAATACATAATGTTGCATTTGCCAAGGCTGGATTAAAAAAAAAAAAATTTATTAGTCTACATACAAACTGGAACCCTTTCCTATTCAGATACATAAAAGAGAGACAGATGTTGCCATCCTGAAGGTACACATATGGTAAGATTAAAATATTTGGTCTAGACTCACTTTTCTAGTAGTAGTAAGTAACAGTCACTCTTCTAAGTGGAAATTCCAATGACAACATTTAATTCCAGTATTAGTATTTCCATTATGCTATTTTTATCCTTAAAACTTATTAAATTGCAGAGAGTAATATGAAATGGTCTTCAAGCAACATTTGATCAAGCCCTTTGCCACCTAAATTACCCAATAATGTTACTGTTTCTCTCTGAAAACCTTCAGGGGTAAAGACACTAACTGTTAAGTCTCTGACCTGGATAAACCTATTCTTTCTTGTTGGTCTCTGGCATATAGTTATTTTTAATTATAAGAAAACAAATTTTATCACAGAGAGGGAGGGGAAGCAGAGGGCACCCTTTATATACTTGGAGACAAGAATCAAGTCACACTTGAAATCTGTCTTTCTTTTTTTAGGCTGAACAATTTTAACACCTGATTGAGAATTAGAAGACCAAGTTTCCAGTTTCTGCTCTACTTCTAAGTCATATGCCTTTTGGAAGAACACAGTCTGTTCAGTTCTCAAGAGTCTACACAATAAAGATTTTGGACTAGATTGGGTCATTTAACCACTTAAACTCAGCATATATATCTGTATTTAATTTTTATTCCATTTAATATATAACCAGAACACTTCTTACTGTTACAAATACTGACTGATTTTCAAATGTAACAATATGGACGAGTATAATAAAACTTCAAACATTCATACTTAATTTGGAAGATGTGATTGTGAAGAGTAACACTTCAGCCTCAGATTGGCTAAATTATCTCCAAATAAAGGCCTTAAGCAAAACACAAAAAAGATGACAAAGATAATAGTTTGCTTAAAAATAATCAGTTTTTCCAGAAGCATCAATTTGTTTGTTATATATTCACTAAAGTACTTCTTCTAAAAAAGTATTAGCCTAAGTGCAATAATTATGAGAACATCAATGTAATATACTCACATTTCTCAGAAATATTTTTTCATTTAAGTCATATCCTGGCTCATACCTACCTTTGACTAATTAGTCCTACTTGTGAATTTTGTTCTAAAAGAGAAGTAATTGAACTTGCAGAAATATTGTGGACTCCTACACTTCATTGGCTAAGTCCTACATGAATGTCTAAGTGAGACTAACAACTCTAGACTGTAGAAATATTGCTTGTAGAGCAATCAGAGAAGAGAAGGCAATCAGGGGCATCCAAATAGGAAAAGAGGAAGTCAAGTTATCTCTCTTTGCAGATGACATGATTGTGTACCTTGAAAACCCAAGAGAATCTGTCAAAAACCTCCTTACACTGATAAAGGACTCTGGCAAAGTCTCAGGGTATAAAATAAATGTGCAAAAGACAATAGTATTTCTTTACACCAATAATAAACAAACAGAAACCCAAATAAAAGGCACAATTCCATTCACGATAGTCACAAAAAAATGAAATACCTTGGCATCTTCCTAACCAGAAACATGAAAGACCTTTACAATGAAAACTACAAAACACTGCTCAAAGAAATCAAAGATGACACAAACAAGTGGAAAAATATCCCATGCTCATGGATGGGAAGAATCAACATTGTGAAGAGGTCCATCCTACCTAAGGCAATCTACAGATTTAATGCAATACCCATCAAATTACCAGCAACATTCTTCTCAGACCTAGAAAAAACAATACAGGAATTCATATGGAAACACAAATGACCAAGAATAGCCAGAACAATCCTCAGCAAAAAAACCAAAACAAAGCAGGAGGTATCACATTACCAGACTTCAAACTTTACTATAAAGCTACAATCATCAAAACAGCTTGGTATTGGTACAGAAACAGGCATACAGACCAATGGAATAGAAGGCATACAGACCAATGGAATAGAATTGAGATTCCAGAAGCAAAACCTCAATTTCTCAACCAACTCATCTTTGACAAAGCCTCCACCACCTACCACTGGAGAGAGGAGAACCTATTCAGTAAATGGTGCTGGGAAAACTAGCTGACCACATGCAGAAAACTCAAATAAGATCCCTATCTATCCCCATACACAAAAATTAACTCTAAATGGATCAGAGACCTAAATGTAAAACCTCAAACCATAAGAACCTTAGAAAATGCAGTACACACCCCTATGGAAATTGGAACTGGCGTCCAATTCCTGAGCAATACTCAAAACTCACGGGCCATAAGAGATAAGACAGACAAGTGGGACCTCATTAAATTGACAAGCTTCTGCAAAGCCAAAGAAATCATCAAGAGAGCAGGGAGACAGCCCACAGACTGGGAAAATGTATTTGCTAACTCCAAGTCTGACAAAGGCCTAATATCTCGGATCTACAAGGAACTCAAACGTGCTGAAAAGAAAAAAACAAACAACCCTATTATAAAGTGGGCAAAAGATATGAACAGACACTTCTCAAAGGAAGACATCCGAGTGGCCAACAGACACATGAAGAAATGTTCAACCTCACTAATCATCAAGGAGATGCAAATCAAAACTACACTGAGATACCACCTAACTCCAGTCAGAATGGCAATTATCAATAACTCAAAAAATAACAGATGCTGGAGAGGATGTGGTGAAAAGGGAACACTTCTAGACTGTTTGTGGGAGTGTAAACTAGTGCAACCTCTGTGGAAAGCAGTGTGGCGACTCCTAAAAGCTCTAAATATCGACCTCCCATATGACCCCGCAATCCCCCTACTGGGAATATACCCTGAAGAACTCAAATCACTCTATCAAAAAGATACCTGCACACGTATGTTTATCACAGCATTGTTCACAATAGTAAGGACCTGGAACCAACCATGCTGTCCATCAAAAGTGGACTGGAGCTGGGCTCGGTGGCTCAGCCTGTAATCCCGCACCTTTGGGAGGCTGAGGTGAGTGGATTGCCTGAGCCTACGGGTTCGAGACCCGCCTGGGTGGTGTGACCTCATCTCTACAATAAATCAAAAAATCAGCCGGGTGTGGTAGTGTATGCCTGTAATTCCGGCTACT